AGAAGATTGCGGCAGGTGTTTATGAGCCGTCTAATGCTTCTTACCGCTCCAGATGGTTCTGCGTACTCAAGAAGGATGGGAAGTCACTCCGGCTCGTTCATAGCTTGGAACCGCTCAATGCTGTCACGATTCAACACTCCGGCGTCCCTCCGATCCCTGAACACATGGCGGAGCAATTTGCAGGACGCGCCTGTGGCGCTATGTTGGATTTATACGTGGGATACGACGAGCGAGAAATTGCGGAGTCGTCCAGGGACCTTACTACTTTCCAGACGCCCTTCGGAGCGATGCGACTAGTCACCCTGCCCATGGGATGGAGTAATTCGGTGCCCATATTTCACGACGACGTGACCGCTATCCTTCAGCCCGAGATACCAGACGTTACAATTCCCTATATCGACGATGTGCCGGTCAAAGGACCTCCGAGCCGTTATATCCAAGCGGATGGTACCTATGAGACGATCCCAGAAAACTCAGACATCCGCCGCTTCGTGTGGGAGCACTTCCAGAATCTCAACCGAGTCGTCCAGCGAATGAAATACTGTGGGGGGACATTTTCGGGCTTAAAGCTCACCCTCTGCGGTCCAGAGATTGTAGTTATCGGACATCGCTGTACCTATGAAGGCCGGATCCCTGATGAGTCGCGCGTGGAGGTCATCCGTAATTGGGGACCCTGTAAGTCGCTCTCTGAGGTTCGCGCTTTTCTAGGGACGGTCGGAGTCCTCCGTATTTTCATCCGGAACTTCGCACATCGCGCCAATGCATTAGTCCAGCTTACTCGTAAAGGCGTACCGTTCGAATGGGGTCCGGAGCAAAGTCTAGCGCAGGAGGACCTTAAGCAGGCCGTCCTAGAGTCTCCGGCTTTGCGTCCTATTGATTACACGTCAGAGTCCCCAGTCATCCTTGCTGTGGATACCTCCTATCTCGCCGTAGGGTATTACCTTTGCCAGCAGGACAGTGAAAATTCCAAGCGTCGATTTTATAGTCGATTTGGCTCCATCACCCTCAATGACCGCGAGCGACGGTTCTCCCAGCCCAAACTCGAGATCTATGGCCTGTTTCGCAGTCTCCGAGCACTCCGTCTTTATCTCCTAGGGGTCCGAAATTTAATCATCGAAGTGGACGCGCGTTACATCAAGGGGATGCTTCAGAACCCAGATATAGCTCCATCAGCGAGTATCAACCGCTGGATCGTCTCCATTTTGACGTTTCATTTTACCTTGGTACATGTTCCAGGCAAGGTGCATGGTCCGGATGGCCTTAGCCGTCGTCCGCCCCAGCCAGGAGATAGACCCGTGGACCCAGATGATGAGTTCGACGACTGGATCGACCGCTTACATGGTTTTCTCCACTTCGTCAACCCAGTTCCATACCTGAGGGCGCCAGGGAACTTAGCAATATTTGCGAACACGATTGCAAGCGATCCGGACCGACCGGAGGAAATTCTGGAGTACGCTGACTTCCCCCGGAGCGAGAAGGAACTAAAGATTGATCGTCGACTCCGTCTCCTACCTGTGTGGTTTCAGACCTTAAGGCGTCCGGACCAGTTGCCTGTGGACGAGTATGAGACCTTTGTGAAGTACGCCACACAGTTCTTTTATTCAGGTGGGAAATTGTGGCGGAAACACATCCAAGGGTCCCACCAGGTCGTACTCTTCGAGGAAGATCGAGTCGGAGCACTCCGGGCTTGTCACGATAATGTAGGCCACAGGGGAATTTATGCTACGAAGGCACTGTTATTAGAGCGTTTCTGGTGGCCCTCCGCAGTCAAGGACGTCGCCTGGTATGTTAAGACATGCCATATATGCCAGACGCGCCAAACTCGCCAAGTGCTCATTCCTCCAGTCGTTGCGGCTCCGGCGCCCTTATTTTCTAAAGTCCACATCGATACTATGCACCTCCCTAAGTCCGGTGGCTTCGGCTACATTGTTCAGGCCCGCTGTGTCCTCACATTTTATCCCGAGGCGAAGAAACTACGTGCCGAAAATAGTCAAGCAATTGGGGACTGGATTTACGAGGACTTACTCTGTCGCTGGGGCGGACTCCGGGAAATTGTTACCGACAATGGACAGCCCTTCCTTAAAGCCCTCGAGTACCTGGAGAAGCGTTACCACATCCACCACATTCGAATTAGCGGATATAATTCCCGGGCGAATGGAGTGGTCGAACGCCCTCATTTTGACTTTAGGCAAGCACTTTACAAAGCCGCGGACGGCGACGCCGCTCGCTGGTCGCAAGTATTTCACTCCGTACTTTGGTCCGAGCGCATAACAATTAGGCGACGCATGGGATGCTCCCCCTACTTCGCTGTCACCAGCTCCCATCCCCTCATTCCACTCGACATCATCGAAGCGACTTACTTGCAGCCCCCTCCAACGTCAATTCTCTCCAGTGAAGACCTTATTGTCCGACGGGCGATAGCCTTGCAGAAACGTGACGCACAAGTTGAACGACTCCATTCTCGCGTCCTCCAGCACCGCATCGAGGCAGCAAGGCGCTTTGAACGTGATCATGCTGCCACCATCCGTGACTTTAATTTCAAGCGAGGCGATTTGGTCCTGGTTCGTAATACGAAGATAGAAAAATCCCTCAACCGTAAAATGCGGCCCAGGTACCTCGGACCACTTATTACAGTGTCCAGGAACCGTGGCGGAGCTTATATCCTTGCTGAACTTGATGGTACGCTCTTCGATCGACCCTTTGCCGCGTTCCGCGTCATTCCCTACCTCGCAAGA